TGTTGCTGCTGCTGCTAGCCAGGAATCCTCACCACCTCTGTCTTCTATGTGTTCACCTAGAGTACTATCCTTTCTGGATGCTTCTCCTGACAACTTGTTGCTTTTCACTTGCATATCTTCCAGTTGGTGGGAAATCAGACACATTTCATCGGCCAAGTCCAGATCACCCAAGTTTTGTGTCGGTCTATTGAATGTCTGTCTCCTCGCTACGCGGCCCGCTGTCTGTCGTATTATCCAGTCTACCACAGTCAGGAAAATCACTGGAGATAGTAGGCAGCCAGGCAGGCTTGTCTCACTCCCGTCTTCACTTCTTACAACGATTCCGCAAGTTTCTCGTTGTCGATTACATGGCATGAAGCATTGTCGTACAACTGTTGAATGAGATGCATAATTGTCGGCGGAACCCCATAGTTGCGTAGCAGTTTGCCAATCGCCTCTCGATCGAGGCTGCACTATCGGAGGCCTCTTCAGAGTCGATGAAGTTGAGATAGAGACCTGACTGCCATTCCGAGCTCTCTCCAATGATGATCTGTTGTGTTGTGACTTGATCAATGCATGACTTGTTTCTCCTGGATCCAGTTGAAGTTTTTCATGCAGATTGGCGTGTTTGATTCTGTTCATGATGATGTGGCTTAGTATTTTGCTTGAGATAGACAGAAGCGTGATGCCGCGTGCCACATTCTTGCGTTGAACTGATTCTCTTTTCTTCGTCAGCTTTAATAATTAGCATTTCTTGCAATCTGCAGGTACCTTGCTCACTTAACAGACCTTCTGCAGTCGTGTTGTCATCAATTACAATGATGTCTTTGGGTTAAGTGTAACTTCATTTACTGACAATATATATTTATTTGTTCATTGAATGTGATGATTTCTAAACATTAGGTGCACTTTTGACTCAACGGGCTATCTGAATTTCAACCTGACAGAATCATTCAAATTTTCTCTATTTTCTGACTGTTCAAAAACTGACATATATTAGTGAGTCTCAAAGCTGTTCTCGCTCATAGTTTTAAGAACACAATATTCAGCGAAGAGACTCTTTTCGACGAATTTATTATCAAGCTGTACAATCGTATGTATATGGTTTTTATAAAAATTATATCCTGTGAGAGAATTAGGTCAAGGGTGTGAATACATGAAATAATAATAGTATGAAATGCAATTAAAATATTTGTGATTATAATGAAAGTTCAATGTCAAGTGGCAAAATAATTAATATCGTATATAGAATAATACATAAGGTGTATAGAATTTTGGAAAGGTGTACATAATTATAAGATTAGTAGACGAATATAAAATGTTACATAACATGGTGTGAAATTTGATAAGATATATTTCAATATTGTAAAAATGAAATTATAAAAATCAATAATCTTGGGTTTAAAGTGTAAAGTGGGTCAAGTGAAAGAAATTCAGAGTGAGAATAGTAACAATAATAATGATAATAATAATAATCGTAGTAATAAGGGAAAGGTACATGGAATAACTAAATAAACAAAATAAATGAATGTCTATCCCTCTGCGGCCAAGGCAGAAGTAGGGATTGCACATACTTTTTTCGTACACAAAGGTTTGGCTTAAAGTCATGAACTGCCAAGGCCTCAGCTGTCTTTCGAAGTCTGCAACTAAGATAACGCGGGATGTTAGCATGGATTCTATATATGATCTTAAAATCATGGTCAGGGTTGACCGAGTGACAGAAGTCGATCGGGTGTTCCAAAATAGAGCTTCTCACACACTTCCTTTCTCTCTTGTAAAACCATGCTGGAATATGTTTTCATATCCGTGTGGAAAGCGTCCTATGACTACGGCCAATGTACCTTGCTCCACAAGAGCAGGTGAACTGATAGATGCACATGGAGGCGGCCAGATGGGGGAGCTTATCTTTTACAGAGGTAGAGAACAACTTGCGGCTAGTGAACGTCATATGTAATTTTGTGGCATAGAACGTCTTCCTGACTGATTTAGAGAGACGATTTTTGAGCATATCTGAGGCTTGATCACCTTTGAATTCCAAGTTCATGAATAAGGTTTTCTTTGGAACTGTGTCGGTGATGAGTTAAGACTGCGTATCTTTCATGTTGCTGTCAATAAGTCGGTTAGGGTAACCGTTTTCTGCGAGGGTGGCTTTTAAGATGTCAAGTTCCGATTCAACGGAATCAGAACTACAAATTGTCTTTATCCTAGAGCAGAGTGAATGAATTAAGTTCCTTTTCCTGGAAATAGGCACCAAACTGTGAAAATTAGTTAGTTGTCCGTTCCAAGTACGTTTCCGGTGGATAGATCTTTTGAGAGATCCGTCATTACGTCTGCTAAGGCACACATCAAGAAAGGGAATACTTAATTCGGACTCCTTTTCTATGGTGAATTGTAAAGAAGGATAGCAGTTGTTGAAAGCAAACAAGAAATCATCAAGAATTACATTTCTATCGCAGATAACGAAAGTGTCGTCTACGTATCGTTTATAAATGTCAAAATGACCGATGGTTTGACTAAGTTGAGAACTTTCAAGCTTTGCCATGAAACAACCAGCCAACAAGGGACCCAGTGGTGATCCCATGGCAATGCCGTCTCTCTGTCTAAAGATCTCATTATTGAAGGTGAACTGAACATTCAACGTGCATCTCAATAAAAGCTCCTTGAGGTGAATAGTCGGCAGTCCTATTTCTAAACTATGTGTATCAATATAATCACATAAGTAGCAAAGAGTTTCCATGAGAGGAACATTGGTAAATAGCGACGTCACATCTAATGAGAACAGGATTTTGTCTGAGACATTGAGATCTTTAATGCAATCAATAAATTTAAATGTATCATCAATGGAAAACTTAGATAATTGCCTTCTGACTGGTTCCAGTATTTCAGCTAGCCATTGAGCGATTTCGTGATAAGGAGAACCCTCCATATCCAGGATAGGACGGAGGGGTAATCCTGTCTTATGAATTTTAGGTAGTCCATACAAACGCGGTATCATGGAGCCTACTGGTCGGATGCGTTCATATATTTCCGACGAGATTACTGACTTATTCCTCATGTTCTTTAAGACATCAGTCAGTTGATTTTCAATTAGATGTGTCTTATTCTTTTCACCATCGAGTTTGGCGAATTTCATTTGGTCGGAAAGGATCGCAGAGATTTTATCATTATAATCTTGGCGATTCATAACTACAACTCCCCCACCTTTGTCTGGACGGCATATAATAATATCGTCATTCGTCTCTAGTTCTTTAAGTTGATCTATATGCTCTTTAGTTAGAAGACTGTTCGAGCTAGGTTTTGAACTAGTAAACTGATGACAGCGATCAAGAACTGTAGATTTAAAGTGTTGGAATTCTTCAGGTGATGTGGCTGTGAGATCGTTGGTCTGATTAATAAGAAATTCAAATTGCACTTTAGTGTGCAATCTGTTGCAGAATTTGAGGTCCAGTGATAGGGCTTGTAGTTGAATTTCAGAAAGAGTGACGGAAGAATAATTAAATACATATTTATTGGGATCAGTCGGAAATTTCTTTTCTGCTACTACCTGCTTGAGACTGTCAAGATGCTTAAGGTTAGCAGACTGCGACTGATTTTTGATGACAAAAGAAACGTATTCCTCGAATTGCCGGCGTTCATCAGTTAAAAGTTCAAACAGAACGTGACTTCTCAGAGATATGTTCCTATTTAGCTCTACAACGCGAGAGCTGATTGCATCAATACGATTAAGTGTATGGCGCTTTAATGTTTTGGAATTTGGACATATACGTTTACGCCTAAGCGCTTTCCCGAATACATTAGGATATTCAATTTTACAGATACAGCTTTCAAAAAAGTAAATTTCAGATTTCACTAACGCAAGTTTGACAGAATACCGTAGGAATCCATTAGGTTTCTTCATTGTAATTGGGTCTTTGCATTTTTTCAATACGGACGAATACGGACAAAATATGAATGCAGATAGCCATACTCTAACATGGTCGAATCAAGACTATGAAGATTGGAATGATTGAACAAATGTTTTCTATATCCAAAGATCTGGATTTTCTATATAGATAGCTGAAAGTTCAACAGGACAGATGAGACGGACACATAACGTTTTAGACAGGTTGACTTTCACTGATTGTTGTTATTCCTCTCAAGTTTGACAGAGAGAGAGCCATTGAAAAGTAGTGAGTATTGGACAGGTATTCCATCCTCATCTGGGACTTATTGCTAGCACCCACAACCTCCCATGTGTATGGTCAAGCTATTAGACCACAAAAGCAGTTTTATTTATCGAATCAACCGGAAATCCGTGTGATAGAAATTATTCTCCACCTGTCCACTTAAACTTCTGGAAATTTCTACCACTTACCGCTCTACTGAGAATAAGCAGGAATATGGAAAACTGTCAAATGTAAGTTTTGAAGTTCTGTGATTAATACAGTTGATATGATTATAAATAATGATAAAGCGTTTTCGAATTTTGGCAATTCAGTGAACATTGATACTGTTTTACTGTGTGTGTGTGTGTGTGATATATCTAATTAGCCAATGAACATGTAATTACATACTACCGCAGCACTCATGTTGCACACATATATATATTTATATTGTCTGCGACTGTACAGCATTGGAATAAATTCTTTGAGAAACGACTCTTCAAGGAATTCCTTGTTTTGCTTTGCTTATGCTTAACTCTTTTTTGAAATCATGAGGCTTGTTTATCCGAAAAGAAGAAAATAATCGCAGATGAGAGACTCTTAGCACACGCATATTTGTACCAATATCAAAAAGTGTGTTGATATTCTCTGAAGGCTTGTCAAATGCATTCAAGGCAAAATTAAAATAATCTGTTACATCTTTAGAATATGTCATTAAATTTCAATCCAGGAATTTCATGAGTACTTTTCTTTTTGTTCATTAATTATTATTATTATTACAATTATCAGAGAGTTAAGCGTAAATAACAAAAGTTTCAATAAGTTATTTCGGTATTCTGGAGTACTGATTAAAAATTTCTGCTCAACTGTTAAAAGGTATCAGCTACTTGTGGTATCAGATGAATGTGAATCATTTCTGACGTAATTAACTTTCCGTACTGTAAGGAATATACAAAATAATACAATACAAATAGTGGTAGAAATGAGAGTGGCCACTGTACTTGATACTATCACAGATGATAACCATAAAGACTGTAGATTTTCATTTTGATTATTTGAAAATATAACCGTTGCATTTTGTATTCTATTAATATGATTGCTATTTGAATGAACATGGGAAATTGGGAAATCACTTGGACTTTCTTCTGCTTTGACATTTACGTTGGAAGTTCTTGAAGACATCGGGAGATGGGATGGATAATTGTGTGGTTTATGCGTACGACTTCGATTCGCGCTTTCTTCGTTGAAATTTACTTTAGACGTTTGTGTAGACATCGGGAGACGGGATGGATAATTGTGTGGTTTATGCGTATGACTTCGATTCGCGCTTTCTTCGTTGACGTTTACGTTAGACGTTTGTGTAGACATCGGGAGACGGGATGGATAATTGTGTGGTTTATGCGTATGACTTCGATTCGCGCTTTCTTCGTTGACATTTACTTTAGACGTTTGTGTAGACATCGGGAGATGGGATGGATAATTGTGTGGTTTATGCGTATGACTTCGATTCGCGCTTTCTTCGTTGACATTTACTTTAGACGTTTGTGTAGACATCGGGAGATGGGATGGATAATAGTGTGGTTTATGCGTATGACTTCGATTCGCGCTTTCTTCGTTGACGTTTACGTTAGACGTTTGTGTAGACATCGGGAGACGGGATGGATAATTGTGTGGTTTATGCGCATGACTTCGATTCGCGCTTTCTTCTTTGGCATTCACTTCAGACGTTTGTTTAGACATCGGGAGATGGGATGGATAATAGTGTGGTTTATGCGTACGACTTTGATTCGCGCTTTCTTCGTTGACGTTTACGTTAGACGTTTGTGTAGACATCGGGAGATGGGATGGATAATTGTGTGATTTATGCGTACGACTTCGATTCCATTTCATATTTGTGTTATTCTAAAAACATTTTCACAGAAACTCGATGTTCAGTTTGACCAATGTTCACTCAAAAGATATATTAATATAGACCAAACTAGATCAACTATTATTGAACATATCGCATAACAAAGTAGTTAAGTTCTAGGTCAATGAAACAGTTGACACTAAGAAAGAATTCGAAAAAGGCATTTCATATGAAAATAAGTGATGAAGACGTTGTCTGGGAAGGCAAAGAAACTTTCATATTTTAACCACCTAGTTCAGAGAATACAACCATATCAGAAATATCCACCTGATATACAGAACTTCACCAGTACCTGCTTTTCAATGGTGGATATGTCACACAGACAATTGTTCTCAGGGTGATAAATAGTGGAACGATGCTCATAGTTCTAGGAGAAAATAATGCTAATATAACAATAAGTGTAATGGAAGTTGAAAGAGAAAACACAAGAAGAGATACGCCAAACAATCCTATCGATGGTTAGACAGGAAGAACAACACACACACACACAACTCAGCTCTCAGGATACTGCAACGTAGGAGATACACTGTCATGCTTACAAAAGAAAGAACTTCAGTTCTCATGGAGAGAAGAGAACACACCAAGAAATCTGAAGAGCTACTCAAGGGTTGTGATGTATACCGATAGATCACAAGAAAACCCATCCAAACATTAGACAACCACATCCAAAGAAGCCTAAACAACCTCAGCAAAACAGGTCAGATCACAAAAGAAAATCAGTGGCGAATAGAATCCAGTGGACCATTTCTATCTCCATTGTATGGCAGACGTAAAGAACACAAACCAAACATCCCATTACAACTAATTTTATCTTTCTCATGGACCTCAACAGTAAATTGAATCACGTAACAGAATCCTGCGATCAATCTATCGAATCTCCAATCGAATTTCTACAGAAAACCAAAGGCATTCAAATACATGACCAAGGAATAATGATATCCTTCAATGTCATTGCATGATATACCTCAATTGAAGGAATCTAGGAAACGAAAACATGGAGCAATTGCTCAACAATGAAGAACAGCTGCCAAAACACTCAAAAATGCAACAAACAAGTTGAATGGAATGCATTAACCTATGTGTGACAACATAATTGCAATTCAACGATCAAATATATGGGCAAATTAAAGGGACACCCATGGAATCGCTCATATCACGCTTGAATGCAGAAGCAGTAATGAAAAGACTTGAAAAAGTAAGCCTACCGAAGATCCGACCAGTCTTTTGTATACGTTACGTGGATGCTACTTTTGTGATAATCAAAAGAAACGAGTTGGAGAAAACTCACAACCTAATAGACGACATATTCAACGATATCGAATTCACAAGTGATGAGAGTTCCAGAACAAGATCCTATTTTAGGATTCCTTAGTCATACGAACAACGAGAGGAAAATTAGAAACTCACATAGATCAAATACTCAATTACAACAGTGGCAAACTAATAAATGACACAAAAAAGAGTTGCATACAAACATCACTCAATAGAGCCAGAGCTCATTGCAGCAATCCTGTCTTACGAAGAATTGAAGAGAAAGATCACATAGATGTCTTTCAAAAATGAACATTCATGGAATTTCATCAAAAGATATCCATCCTGAAGCTAGCCAGCCAACCAACCGAAGGTCCCCGAGGAAAGCACAAAGAAAATCGACCTACCACATATAAAAGACATCTCAGAAATCACTGCAAGACTCTTCAAACTTTTAGGATTTGATGTCGCACACACACCAAGAAAATTGCTCCACTCGGCTGGCTCTATACCAACCAAAACACTGAACAGCGAAAGAAGATAAAACAAACATCATCTGCAAAATAAATTGTAGCGACTGAGAACAACACTACAGTAGCCATAGTGGACGCCCTCTCTCCATCTTCGCATCCACGAATATAATCTAGCCGTCAAAGGATATGATGATATCCACTGCCTCATATGGCTGCATACAGACAACAACGGATATCAATTCGACTCAGAAAACCTACGTTCACATATTAGACAGAGGAAATGCCAAGAATGCTGGAGAAATTTTAGAAGCCTGTCTGGTATTCCAATGAGTCAGCAATTAACAGACACACTGAAATATATAAAATTTACCAATCCATAACACGAAAATCTCACGCACAAAAGTCAAAATTTAGGAGAAGGAAAAAATCAGTACCCTATACCACCAGTAGATTAGTGTGTTAAGACAGACAAGAGTGACCAATCACGTCCCAGTTCACCAGGAGAGATGACTAATAAACTCGTGTAGAAATCTCAAAGCTCACTTCAAGAAATTGAAATATGCTCTGAATCTACTGTCTAGTTGTGATGCAATGCAGACTTTGCAAGTAAACTGTCCAGCTCAGATAACAACGAGTGTACGTCACATGGAATCAGGTTTTCTGTTGGTGAAGTTATTCATAGAATCAATCGAAAAGTTATATTACCATCCAATTTGCAATGAAGTCAAAATGCACTAGTATGTGTGAAGTGGAAACTGAAGTTTGTTGGTTTCTAATTTTGGATGCAAAATAAAAATTGTCCAAGAATATGAATCCTTCGGTTCAACCCTATTCTATTTTTCATATCTGACTCATCTACACATTATATTTGATATTAATAGTATTCATTTTTTCCTTTCTGAGTGGAACATAGGACATCAACAGCATGTCTGCCTTCTACTCTATCCTATGACTTCGCTTTCAGCTACCTACATAATTAATCACAATGGTTTTATTTCCTCCTCTTCACATCACCAACAAACAAACTACAGACCTTCATCAAAACCTGCCTTCTCTCAGTACTTCGCTCAGGATCAGTTAGCCGGCAACAAAAGATCAGCAATAGTGAGGTAACTCTGGGAGCGAACCAGCCCAATAGGAACCAACTGTGCAACAAACCTGAAGGAAGAAGTGGAGGTAGATTGGCTGGCCATACTCTGAGAAAACAAACCACCATCAAGTGACATCACACGGTAGACTGTCTCTCTCGAGTGGAACTTAAGTGGGTTCCATCTGAAGGCCAATCTATCTAAGTTTTCCTCTTAGCAGTCTTTCTAACAATAGGTTTTTATTAATTCTCTGCGATTGCACGTGTCGCCTTTTTTCCGGCCGGTTAACTCATATTTGGAGTCAAGTAAAAGCAGATACTGGTCGAAGTTCACAGTTGATGCTTTTCTTTAAACCACACCTTACCAACTGTTTGTCATTGCTAGAATCAGATTGTATTCCTCACAGAACGTTTAATGTAGGTGATTAAACTTTAAGCGAATCATATCGCTACAAACAAACGCTTAAAACTTATCGAATATACACATTAGATCATTGGAAAGAGCAAAGGGATGATTGCAGCAAAAGGAAATTTTCCATTTGACTAGGTGTTTAATTATGTTGTAAATTTATATGCATGTATATATAGTGAATGGTTGAGAAATTTCTGGAACTACTCCTAGTTGAAAATTGATCTGATATTGTTTGGTGAACGACTACAGTACGAATTCATCTCAAATCGAATGTGATTTTGTGATCAATGCAGTACACCAGCTTGAGTAATAGGACAGATACTCGGCAAAGATACTAGCTAGTGATGCAGCTAACAATCACTAACTGACTGAAGATAGAATGCATGCGTCAGTAGATCAAGTTCCAATGGCTGAAAGATTACTGTGATTAGCTCATAATCTGCAGGTTCTGGGTTCCATATCTTCTCCTGGAAAGTCCCGAACTAAGAAGAAGAAATAGTCCAGTACTCCCTGGTTCTCAGCTTTTCTCCAACTAATATTCACCCATGCTCGAACTTTAGAAACAATTCAAAACCCAAAAGAATAACACTTAAAAATGGACATTTAATATCAATAAGTTTCGACAAAGCGATTTTGTTGTCCTACAAAACAATACTACTGAAAAAATAGCTTCAATCACAAAAAGTATTTCTTTAAGAATCCATAAAAAGTAAGCTGTGAATGTGTTCACTCAAAGTTTAAAAAATAGATCATTTTAGGTATTATATAGAATCGAAAAATTCAATTACATACATGAGTAAAACAATTCGTCTTCATCCAATCCAATAAGATGGCATCATTGTTATCAAAGCAATTCCCTTTAAGTGTGGTTGCTTCACTGCATACCTTATATGATGCATATTCACTGCAACCTGTATTGTTAGTAAGAAATAATCATGAAATTCAATCTGTTTTCAAGCGTATATATATGTGGACATGTATAATCAAAGATTTTGTATTTACCAATGAATGAAAGCTAAAACGATATTGTTACTTTTACTGACGCTTCTCTACTGGTAGCTTTATCAGAAAGTAGTAATATGAAACCAGAATTTACAAAGTCTCAGCATGTGTATATATATATGTATAACAACCCAAGAAAAATAACTATCCAAGAACTTCACCAACAAAAGCAACACTGGCATTAAATATGGTCAAAAACGTATTCCGAAAATATGGACCTAAACAGCTGTAATTGCACATTGAGCAAAGACGTCAGACGATATCAGAAGAGTACTCAATAAGCCTGACTTGTGACACACTGCGAAACTAACTTGTCCATGTAGAAAGACCAAATCCCTAGAGATTCTGTATCTAACTGCGCCTTTAAAACAAAATGTGATGCGATATACATCGACAAAAAAACATCGCCAGAGAGAAATCAAAATCAGAAGAAATGAACAGCGTACAGAAGCCTCTATTCTACCACCGAGAAACCCAGTTGAACTAGAAAAGCTTGAAAACTTATCAGCCATAGGTCGTCTACACGCTATGCTTTAGAGTCAGGTCACAAAATTGATTTTGACAATATTGAAATCCTCATCCAGAAGAATTTCAGAAATCACAAAGAACGTTCAATACCATCAGACGTACTTCACATCAAGTGTAATCCAAATTGTCAAATAGCAATGGAGCGAAACAGAATCTCACCTGGTTACAACAACCCCCTACCCACTCCATAAAATGACAAAATCAACACGAATGTGATAAACAATTTCA